GACCTCACTGGAGACCGGCCCCCGACCTTCATACAGATGTTCACATACGCGCAACTGACAAGCTACCTTCAGACCCTACCCCAGGGTGAGGCCTTACGGCGCACCCCCACGGAATTCGAGCAACTATGCCTCGACCCAGAACCACTCCCACACGGGATATCCAAATTATACAGCCTACTCCAAATACAGATCCCAGTGGAAACACCTAGGTTTAAGGGAAAATTGGAAACGGCCCTGAACCAAAAATTTAGCGATGGGGAATGGGACAAAATCTGCACACTGACACACCACTGCGCGGCCTACAGCAGACACCAGGAGACTGCATATAAACTGCTCACGCACTGGTATCGCACCCCGGATGTCCTACACAGCATACACCCAGACCACCCCGCACACTGCTGGCGATGCGGGACAGGAACAGGGACACATATACACATCTGGTGGTCCTGCGAGAAGATGCAACCCTTCTGGCGGGGGATACACAAACTCATACAGAAATTCTCAGATCACCCTCCACCCTTTTAACCGGCAGCAATGCTACTACACCATACTAAGGGGCCTAGCAATATCTACAAAAGATCTATGACAATAAGAATACTAAATATTGCCAAACAACTCATTCCCCTACACTGGAGGGACACTGAGCCCCCTACCCTTAGGGAATGGTTTGCGAAAATGGAGGACCTCAGGGTGACGGAAGACTTACACTTGACGGCTACAGATAGGGCACAGCGATACCTAGACATTTGGACGCACTGGATTCTGACAACATCAGGAGATAACTTCCTGGACACACTGGGGGAAGACTGACGGAACTTGAGACCCCAGACCACTGGGAGAACAGATTACTAACACCTGCGAGACTCACATATGGAAGCCTTACTTGCCAACCGGACCCAGTCAGAGGGCCTCCGGGGGGATAAACCCCCCCCCCCCCTTATTTTTTCCCACCTACCCCACCCGTCAACGACGGACAACGGACTGACTGATAGGCGAAGCCACACGGGAACCTTCGCTCACTCTCACACCGAACGCACCAAAATTGACAAAAATGCGGAAATGCACGGTCATGCATAGAGCCGTATAGACAGGCACAACGGGACCTGATGGCCCCAGACGACACGGGACATACTGACCGCTAGAGACCCGAGGGTCTCCCACAACGGATAACTGGACGACCTAGGGGCCAGAGAGCCCGCACAGAAGTCTTACCCTCAGCAGGACAAATCAGCACTGGCAACAGCACTGTATACGATATAATTGGGCGATATAGCCTCTTCACGCATAATTGCACCTTGCACCCTGTACTGCCCTGGACATACACACTCTGGCAAAGCGCCTACATACCGACTGCCCATTAGCGTACACTTACCTTGCGAAATCAGCCTCTGCGCAGGCATCTTCATGCTTTTACATCGCAACGTTTTGTGTTTAACATTGTCACTTATTGTTACTGGATGACTTGCACGTCACCACTGTCGCTCTCTGTACCTATTATTTGATTGAGAAGTAACTGCAACGAATTACTGCTGGACCTGCGTGTCCACACCGACAGCCTCTTATAAATTTGAAAATACTGAATAAAAGAAATTTACCAAAAAAAAAAACTTACTTCTTCACAAACTTGTATCAATTAAACTGTTAATAGGTCCAAGTTTATTCCTCTCCTGCAACTGTCATTAAAACACACTTGAGTCTTGAGTGAATACTATTCTACCAATCTACTTCTCTACTCCTACCTCCTTTGTGTCCCTTTACCCTACTGCCTTTAGCATGTAAACCCATTGAGCAGGGCCCTCAACCTCTCTGTTTCTGTGTGTCCAACTTGTTTGGCTACAATTACATGTTTGTTAGTCCACCAATTATACAGTCCTGCGGAATTTGTTGGCACTAGATAAATTATAATAACTTAATTCAAGCATGAAATCAGTCTATAAAAGGTATTAATAGTGCATTTAAAATAATTCCTATTTTTCCCAAAAGAAAATCCAATGGCTGGAAATGTTACATCTCCAAGTCCAATCTCCAAAAGAGACTTGTTAACGCTCAGTGGCTGAAATAAAGGCTTGTTGAAGATCGTAACGAAACCTTGAGATTTATGTTCCTAAAACTGGCAGTTCTCTAATCTAACCTTGTAGCATCCCAAAACTGCGTATTTCAGTGTGGTGTATTACTATATTCAGGGGTCTGAACTGAACCAGAATTGGGTTTCTTGTTCTGCATTAGCTCAATATTCGGTGCCAACTCATAAAAAAAAAAAAGGAACACTTATGCTGTAGTGTTTATGGTACCAAGATGTCCCTAGAGCAGGGGTTCCCAATCTGGGGTAAATTTCAGTACCCCTGGGGGTGTGCAAAAAAAAAAAATCTGTAATGGTGGCAGGGCAGCACGCCGCACGGGTTGGGAACTCAGGGCCACCCGCTGGACATATTCCACAAGGGGCCAGGGCCCCTCCTAACCTGCCTCAAGACCTGTGAGAAAGTGAGTGACATCCTCCCAACTCAAATAGAATCTGTCACACGGGAGGGGTAGCCGCGAGAGGGAGGGGTTAGAGGAGCAAGACCCTTACACCCACCAACGACAGCCATGGAAGCCACCTTCCAGCACCTACAAAGTAAGACACTGGAGGGTGGCTAGAATTGTGACTTGTATTTGTGTTTTTGGAATCTGTACATCAGTATGTGTCAGTGTGTGTATGTATCTGTATGTGTTTCATTGTTTGTATCAATGTGTCTGTACATCTGTATGTGTGTCATTGTTTGCGTCTGTGTATCTGCATGTATGGAACTGTGTCAGTATGTGAATCTGTGTGTGTTTCAGTGTATCTACATGTCATTGTGTGTGTCTGTATGAGTGTTAATGTGTTTATCTGAACATGTCAGTGTGTGTATCTGTCAGTGTGTCATAGTTTTGATCTGTGTATCAGTGTGTCTGTTCAACTCTGTCACTGTTTCCATCTGTGTCTGCGTATCTGCATGTATGGAAGTGTATGTGTATCACTGTATCTGCGTGTGTATCTGTGTGTATCAGTGTGTATCAGTGTGTCTGGGCAACTGTATGTGTATCAGTGTGTCTGTGCATCTGCATACATTTCAGAGTTTGTATCTGTACATCTGTATGTGTGCCACTGTGTGTACTCGTGCAACTGTATGTGTCAGTATGTGTATCTGGCAGTGTTTTTATCTGTATCTGCATGTATGTCTGTGTGTATTCATCTTTGTCTGTATGTGTATCAGTTTGTCTGTGCATCTGCATGTGTGTCAGTGTGTGTGTGTGTGTATCTGTGTGTCATTGTTTGGATCTGTGTGTCTGTACATCTGTATGTGTGTATTTGTGTAACTGTATGTGTGTCAATGTTTGTATCTATGTATCTGTCCATCAGTATCATCGTATCTCTGTGTTTGTGTATATGTATTTGCATGTGTATCAGTGTGTATTTGTATCTCTGTGAGAGTGTCATTGCTTGGATCTGTGTATCAGTGTGACACTTTCCCAGGGGTTGCTGGGAGCCTATTGATAAGCAGGGGGCACTTTCCCAGTGGTTGCTGGGAGCCCAATGATAAGCAGGAGACGCTTTCCCAGGGGTTGCTGGGAGCCCATTGATAAGTAAGGGATACTTTCCCACTGGTTGCTGGGAACAGACTGATAAGCAGGGACACTTTCCCAGGGGTTGCTGGGAGCCTATTGATAAGCAGGCGGCACTGTCCCAGGGGTTGCTGGGAGCCCATTGATAAGTAAGGGATACTTTCCCACTGGTTGCTGGGAACAGACTGATAAGCAGGGACACTTTCCCAGGGGTTGCTGGGAGCCTATTGATAAGCAGGCGGCACTGTCCCAGGGGTTGCTGGGAGCCCATTGATAAGCAAGGGGACACTTCCCAGGGGTTGCTGGAGCCTATTGATAAGCAGGGGGCACTTTCCCCACGGGTTGCTGGGAGCCTATTGATAAGCAGGGGGCACTTTCCCACGGGCTGGGAGCCCACCGATAAGCAGGGCCAGGGGTGCTGGGAGCCCATTGATAAGTAAGGATACTTTCCCACTGGTTGCTGGGAGCAGACTGATAAGCAGGGACACTTTGCTGGGAGCCTGATAAGGTGAGACACTGGGGTTGCTGGGAGCCTATTGATAAGCAGGACACTCTCCCAGGGGTTGCTGGGAGCCTACTGATAACCAGAGGGCACTTTCACAGGGGTTGCTGGGAGCCCATTGATAAGCAGGGGACACTTCCCATGGCTGGGAGCCTATTGGATAAGCAGGAGACACTTTCCCAGGGGTTGCTGGGAGCCTATTCATAAGCAGGAGACACTTTCCCAGGGGTTGCTGGGAGCATTGATAATCAGGGACACTTTCCCAGGGGTTGCTGGGAGCCTACTGATAAGCAGGGGGCACTTTCCCAGGGGTTGCTGGGAGCCCATTGATAAGCAGGGGACACTTTCCCAGGGGTTGCTGGAAGCCTATTAATAAGCAGGGGACACTTTCCCAGGGGTTGCTGGGAGCCCATTCATAAGCAGGGGGCACTGTCCCAGGGTTTTCTGGGAGCAGATTGATAAGCAGGGGACACTTTCCCAGGGGTTGCTGGGAGCCCATTGATAAGCAAGGGACACTTTCCCAGGGGTTGCTGGGAGCCCATTTAAAGCAGGTGACACTTTCCCAGGGGTTGCTGGGAGCCTACTGATAAGCAGGGGGCACTGTCCCAGGAGTTGCTGGGAGCCTATTGATAAGCAGCGGGCACTGTCCCAGGGTTTGCTGGGAGCAGGGGGCACTTTCCCAGGGTTTGCTGTGAGCCCATTGATAAACAGGGGACACTTTCCCAGGGGTTGCTGGGAGCCTACTAATAAGCAGGGGACACTATACCAGGGGTTGCTGGGAGCAGGGGGCACTTTCCCAGGGTTTGCTGTGAGCCCATTGATAAGCAGGGGACACTTTCCCAGGGGTTGCTGGGAGCCTACTAATAAGCAGGGGACACTATACCAGGGGTTGCTGGGAGCCTTTCAGAGTAGAGTCATTTTGGCAGTGGGGGTATTTCTACTATTTTGGAATTAAGACTGGTTGAATAAGTATTTCAACAGACAACAAAAACCTCCATTCAATTCAGGGTGAGGTTTTGTTCTTTAATGTCATTATTCGGTTAATTGGAGAGAACAGATTCACACCATAAGATGGAAGATGAGCGGCAGAATCAGATGACCTCGGATAGTATCGCATATTGGACCTTTGGTATTGTTTGTAAAAACAAACTATGCAGAAAGAGATTCAATGCAGAACATACAAAAACAATGTAAAACAGGCATTCCTGCTAACAGGTGGAGAAACTCAAATCTACAAATAAATAAAACCTAAATTGTCATCTTCAATTCACGTAGAGAACGGTGGTAAGAAGTATTTAGCAGCACCAACAGTCCTTAGGTGAGTACCATTCGTGGTTTGTTTGGATCAACGATTCAAAGAAATTTGGATATTTGTATTTGTATTCCCTTTACATGCATCAGCCAACATATCGAACGTAAAAATAACTTCAGATCTGAGAATTAATCAGAAGTTTAACCTGCACAATGTAAACAGTTCTATGGAAAGGATAGTCCGAGAGCAAAGCAATTACTGCTCCGTAAAAAACCCAGTCAGAATAGGAAAATGATGGTTCAGTCCTGGAAAGTGATCCGTGGACTCTTGATGTTGCAAAGATTAAACGCATAGTTTGTTAGCTTGTGAAATCACTTTTCTAAATTAACACCAAACTGTAACAGGTGGACAACAGACTGACGCAGACAACAATTCCACTGTCCATCTTTTATTAATCTCGCAGACAGGATGTGTCTTTTGGTTCCCATAATTCATGACTTTAGCCATGAGTGAGAAGTATTATTACAAACCGTGCGATTAATGATGATGTCAAACATACTTTTTATGGATTCCAACACAGCACGAACATAGTAACAAGCAGTGCCTCCAGATATCATACTGCTTCCCCGAATGAGGTTTATAATGATATTCCGGGCAGGAGTTGTTCTCGTTGTCGATGAGCAATAGTTTTACATTGGACTCTTCAGCTGATTTATTAGGATTATTAGCAGATATTGCTTTGTTTTGCAATGTGGATTGTACATGGATTCCACTCACACTGATATAACAGAGAACGGGATCCATATTATCCACACAAGATGAATACTGAGCTTTACAGATAAAAACAGCACAGCCATTTGCTCTCTGCTACCAACTCACCAACAGAGACTTCAGAATCGTTTACTAGCCATCCTTTGGGTAATCAACTATTAAATGGGTGACATTTTACTAGAGCCAATTAACGTAACGGGAGTAAACCATTCATCAGATTAACACATTCAATGCTGGTTGTGGTCTGCAAAAATGACCATGAAGCACTGCTTTTCAAGGCATTTACACTATGTATTGAGAATCATCACAATTGTTTCTGGATCACGATTCCCCTAAGACTCATATTTAAAAAAATAAATAAATAATAAAATGGTCTGCACCCTTGTGTCGTGGAATCGTAGTGTGGGGTTTAAAACGTTCAGTGGAACCAAGAAAGCAGGTTATCTGTGTATTGCACTAAAGAAGTAGAGTCACGGTAGTGTTTCTTTCAAGTAAGACTTCCCATCCCGTCTTCCCGCTGGACGATCACAGAGGGAATGTTTTTCCGTGAAGTAGCACTGCTATACGTGCTTACACAGCATGCTGATGGTTGATACTACACTTTTGGTTCAATAATGTCCACGGGCAGATGCCCTATTAACAGTCCGTAACATAGCTCCATCCTCTAAAATCTTAAAAGCAATCTGTGACAAAATCACTATAAATGAATAAATAATATTGTAAAAACATAATAAATAACTTACATAAAACTAACAGAAGTAAATGTGATTCAATAAATATATGCCTATTCATTTATTGTGCCATAAATGTTTTTATGGGTGGGAGACTGGTAGATCTCCAGTGATTAAGGGATTCTAGTCTAACTAGGTAGGAGGCAGTACATTCGGTGGAAACGGTTGGTCAGGACATTTCCTCTGGCTCTATGGTTTGTTGACATTCTACCCTCTTCATTACAATACTGTCTTTCCATGATACATCCTTGCTTGTCTCCACCGAGTCCTCATACATCTTTCTCCAAAATGATTCCATTTTCCCTATGTGGACCCTTTGGTGTCGGACCAAAGTGGAGTGCTGGGTAAAACTCTTACCGCACTGTGTGCAGACAAAAGGGCGATAACCAGTGTGGATCTGTTGATGGGCTTTAAGGTTTGAAATTTTACTGAAACCCTTCTGGCAGACATCACACGTATAGGGTCGTTCTCCGGTGTGTATCTTTTGATGGCCTGTGAGGTGGGAATGTTCACTGAAGCACTTCCCACATTCTGCACACTTGTATGGCCTCTCTCCAGTGTGTGTTCTGATGTGGTTGCTCAAATGCCCCTTCTGGCTAAATGTCTTGTCGCACTCTGCGCATTTATAGGGACGTGCCCCAGAGTGCTTCCTGCGGTGACGCACCAGGCTGGAATGTTGACTGAAACAGATGTCACACTCCGGACACTTATAAGGTTTCTCCCCGGTGTGAATCCTTTGGTGGACAATGAGGTTAGAATTCTCGCTGAAACTCTTCTCACACATGTTGCACTTATAACGCTTCTCTCCTGAGTGGACCCTGAGGTGTACGGTGAGGTGGGAATTTTCACTGAAGGTTTTGTTGCACTCGTTACACTTGAACGGGCGTTCCCCGGTGTGGATTCTTTTGTGAGCCTTTAGGTGAGAGTTCCTGGTAAATCCTTTTCCGCATTCTGCGCACCGGTAGCGCTTTTCACCCATTAGCATCAGCCTCTGTTTGCTGTGAACGCTGTAGTTTTCATAGAAGCCCCGATCAAACTCACTTCGTCCGGGTCTCTGGGGATCCCGAAGCATAAGAGATGGTGGGTTGGCCAGACTGCTCAGGTATTTCTCAAACTCCAAGGCATTTTCTAGCGTGTACTCCTGTGGAAGAGCCCGGTTCAGTGCGATCCCAGTCTCCGTAAATATAAACATATTGTCTCCGTCTGGGCCAATTAGGGGCACTTGGGTACACAATTTGCCACTTTCTCCCACTGAAGGATTCTCCATACTGGCATCACTTCCAAGCTCATGTTCTGGAGGAGTAAACAGAGTAGAAATTACAAGAAAGTAATTAAAGTAATTACACAAATGTCTTAAAAAAAAATTATAGCAAAATTGTATTCACAGATTTTTACAAAAATAACTGAACAAAGGGGAGCAGGACTTGCTTTTGTCGTAAGACAGTTAACATCTACTTACAGGTATGAGAGACTTCTAAAGAAATATAGACAACTAGAGGAAAACATTTTGTAAATTTAGTATGAAACAAAGACCTAACTATGTAAATATAAGAGCAAGTAATGGGGTGCGACTCTAATAGTGTTGTGCAGCTAGTGGGGTGCGACTAATAGTGGGGAGTTTTCACTCACTAATTTCCTCTGTTTTATCCATACTGTCCTCATTCTGAACCTCGATGACTCCGTCTTCCTCCTTCAGCTTTCCTTTCGGCTCGGTCTCCTCCTCTCTCTCTTGTTTAACCACCACAATCAGCTCGTGTGAAATGGGAGATGTACCTGGTAAAACAAAGTTACTAATATGGATCAGAACATTCAAATATGTTACAGCAAATGTGCAACATATTAATAAAATGCAACGTGGGTTTAGACTGGAGTTTTCTGTGCGCAGAATATACTGTGACTGTGGGATTGTATTACAGAATGACATAGGACAGGACGTAGCAATACATTTTAAATTGCATAGCAAATCATGTAGCGTCCCGTTTCAACCCAGCGGCAGGCGGCGTCCCGTCTCAACCCAGCGGCAGGCGGCACCCCGTCCGAACCCAGCGGCAGGCGGCGCCCCGTCCCAACCCAGCGGCAGGCGGCGCCCCGACCCAACCCAGCGGCAGGCGGCGCCCCGACCCAACCCAGCGGCAGGCGGCGCCCCGACCCATCCCAGCGGCAGGCGGCACCCCAACCCACCCTAGCAGCAGGCGGCACCCCGACCCACCCTAGCAGCAGGCGGCGCCCTGTCCCAACCCAGGGGCAGTCTTGCGTAACTGAATTAAACAGATATCCATATACTATTTACCACAGGTATTTACATCAAATAACGTCCATGTTACCTCTATCTGCCAAGGCGGTCTCGGAGCAACTATCATCCTCGTGCTTCACTTTCATGGGGTGCTCTGCTTTTCGGGTCCGGCTTCCTACCAGAATACATAAGGAGATTTCACATAAACAGTAATAACAATTCTCTCCCGCTTAAATTACTTTCTTCTTCCTGGTGTGTGTAGTTTATATATAGGAGCAAAAAAAACTACGCAAAGACCTAACGATAAATGAAAACAGGAATCTCTAATAAAAGTACAGACACTCTGCTTTCAGAACGTTACTGTCATACGAGCCGAAGCGGTGTACAGCGGCAGGGGTTAACATGTGAAGTCCTATTCTATTTAGCCAGGCTTTAGTGCACCTCCTCCAAAAAACATTAAACATGGTAGTACCCCTGAGAGAGAGAATCACATAAGTATAACCACCATAGCTGCACCTCGGGGCCACCGAACACCAAAGTTACCATCGAGGGTCTTTCTAAAATATGCATAGACTCCAGAAGGTGTCAGAGCCGCTATACAATTTATTTGCCACTGAAGGCCATAGCATACACATCCGGGGAATTTTAGACAATTTGAGCCCTGAAAGCGAATTAAACTCAGCAATTGAGGCATTAAGGAGCATTAGAGGGTCAGGAACACAAACATGTATTCCTGACCCTAAAGGGTTAAAACCACCATCTAGCCCCCCTGGCCTCCTCTTGCCGCCATTAATATAGTAAAATCTTACTTGCATTCAAGTCTGCCGCTGCTTACTTAGTCCCGGTTTCCTTTAGACCTGCCCACTGCCTGCTGACATCAGCAGAAGTGGTACCCTGATCCAATCACAATGCTTCCCCATAGGATTGGCTGAGACTGACAAAGAGGCAGATCAGGGGCAGAACCAGCATGTTTCAAACCCAGCCCTGGCCAATCAGCATCTCCTCATAGAGATGAATTGAATCAATGTATCTCTATGAGGAAAGTTCAGTGTCTGCATGCAGAGGGAGGAGATACTGAATGTTTGGATGCATTTTAGGCAGCCATGCCCCAGGAAGGATCTCTAACAGCCATCTGAGGAGTGGCCAGTGAAGTTATCACTAGGCTGTAAAGTAAACACTGCATTTTCTCTGAAAAGACAGTGTTTACAGCAAAAAGCCTGAAGGTAATGATTCTTCTTGTGGCAAACCTAGCCACTTGGGACTGCCTAAGATAGAATGGTTGTGCCTATTTTCTGTTGTGTACTGCGCGCCGGTATAGTGTGGCGTCTCCGGCTATGTTTAATTTATGCTGTACTGTGTATGTCTGTTCGAATCCTCCCCATTCGTTAGCATTGCTATTAAAACTGACTAAGTTGTATATTTTGAAGTAGAAAGGTAACGGTTTATGTCCTCGTAGTTTTCATTACTGTATGTTACAGCAGGGGCTGTTGGGAGGAGGACCTGGAAACGGTAGTCTCCCTCCAGTCCCCTCAACCAAAACCCCTGCTGCCCATCTTTGGAAACCCCTGTTGAGTGACCTGCTTTAAATATCAGTTATTTTTAATAAAGTGACAGTTGAGTGACCTGCTTTAAATATCAGTCTTTTTGAATAAAGTGGCAGTTGACTCTCAGACTGTGTTTCGTCTGGTTCTTGGGAGGATTTGGGAATATTGCCTGCTTCCAGCTTTGTACTTGGTTATTGCATTCTACCAGCAGAGATCCTGGGATTATAAAATTGCAGCTCCGCAACAATTGGTGGCAAGCGGCGGGATCCAACCGTACAGCAGGAAAAACGCTGTTTATACAATTGGAATTGACATACTGGAAAGCAGAAGGCAATTGATACAGATGCATAAGTGAATGGGGACGGACTACACCATATTGAAACGGCAAACGTTAAAGGAGCTGTTGGAAGCCAGGGGTAAGATAGCCAGCAATAAGCCTAAAGCAAGACTTATTGCCGAGCTAATGGAAGGAGACCGAGCTCGTAGTGCTACACCCCCAGCAAACATGGAGGAGACCCCATTTGAACGAGAAATGAGGACAAGATTGGCATTTTGGCCCGCTCCAGTATCTCCAGAAATTATGACCATAATTTCGGCGGATGCACAGGAGTACGTGATGGCGCAAAGGAATCAAGCCTTCTCACCTCAAGCAGAAACCACTGCTGTTTCAACTGTGGGCCAGGGAAGGCCAAAAATACCACATCATGCATTTAAAACTTTTTGCGAGGATAAAGACGAAATAGATGGATATTTTGAAAGATTGTGTGACTTGCATGATGTAGAGCAAGCTATGTGGGTACCTTTGTTGGCAGGCAAACTGTCTGGGCGTGCAGCAGACGCCTACCGGGCTGTACCCAGAGAGGACAGCAAGAATTATGACAAGGTAAAGCAGGCGCTATTAGAAAGGTATGCCATTACCCCAGAGGCATACCGGCGCAAGTTCCGAGAATTGAAAAAAGGGGACAAAGACTCACATGCGGAGTGGGCACACAAGCTTGACCAAGCCTCACAAGGCTGGATACAAGCCAGCAGAGCTACCACCATGGAAGAGTTACGCCAGATGTTGCTACTGGAGCAGTTTTGTAATGGCCTGGCACCAGAGGCTCAAGAATGGGTGAATGACCGAAATCCTCACACCCTAACCGAAGCGGCACGATTGGCCGACCAACATTATGATGCTAGGAGGCATCATAAAAATAATAACCGAGGGTATGCAAAACCCAACCCGCAACCGTTTCCAGTTATTGCTCCTGCCCCAGCGACAGCACCATCCAGACCAGCACTTGTGGGACAACCTCCCCACTCCCGTTATAATGGCAGGTCCAACATCCAGTGCCATGCCTGTAAGCAATGGGGGCACATGGCCCGGGAGTGCACCCAAAACCGGAGCCGCAAGAACTGGAATCAGCTCCGGCAGAATATGGCCCCGCGGGCAGCTGCTCATTATAATCATGCAGAGCCAACTTTGCCAGGAGTGCCGCTTGAGTCGGCTGATGAACCCCTGGGCGTTTTGCACGATGTAATGTCCATCCATGCTACTGACAACCGACAACCACATTGCCAGACCGTGACTCTGGAAGGGAAAGAGGTACAGGGGCTACGTGATTCCGGCGCTACCTTAACTTTGGTTGCCCCGCATTTGGTGTCAGGATCAGCACATACTGGGGGATCGGTAGCAGTCCGGGTAGCAGGGGGTGTGTGATACTTATGTTTTAATTGGAACTCAACTGCAGAGTTTCCTAATTGAAGTAATTGTTAGATTCACCTCTTTTTATATTGAAAAAAGGAGTAATTCCTATTACCTTAATTACACATGTAAGTTGGTTATTGGAGGATGAATATCTTATAAGCAGATTAATTAGAATAAGAAACTTAATTAGAGAGAATGACACAGTGGATTAATTGGAACAGAAATACTTAACTTAATAAGGCAAGTTCTGGAACTTTAAGGGTTAAATTCACCCGATGGATTCAAAAGATAGTCTGTTAAGTAAGCCGATCTGAGAGTGGAGAGAGGAGAAGTCTGTTTAGCAATCCGTGGTCTAGGAGTGGAGAGAGGAGAAGTCCGTTTAGCAATCCGTGGTCCAGGAGTGGAGAGAGGAGAAGTCCGTTTAGCAATCCGTGGTCTAGGAGTGGAGAGAGGAGAAGTCCGTTTAGCAATCCGTGGTCTAGGAGTGGAGAGAGGAGAAGTCCGTTTAGCAATCCGTGGTCTAGGAGTGTAGAGAGGGGAAGTCCGTTTAGCAATCCGCGGTCCAGGAATGGAGAGAGTAAGAGTCCGTTTAGCAATCCGAGGCCGATACAGGCAGGATGGGGTAAAAACAGCTGATCACTTTTCAGGTACCTGTGCAATAATCCAGCGTTTTGAATCTGGCGCGGTCTCCCTAAATATCGTGGAGGGACCGCGTCAGAGAAAGGGGAGGGGCTAAGCGCCGTGAACCCGGAAGTGGGTTCTTACGGAGAATGTATTTTAAGTTATACCTGACAGTACCCCCTTCTCATGGGGCATCCTCTGGGTGCACTTATCTCGGTTTGGAGGGATAACGTTTGTGAAATGCAGCAACTAACCTCTTAGCATGTACATTAGATGAATCTTCCCAAGTGTCTTCATCAATACCATAACCTTTCCATCTAATAAGGTATTGTAAGGAGCCACGGTGGATACGTGAATCCAAAATTCTATGTACTTCATATTCTTCTTCACCTTGGACAATGATAGGATCAGGAGCTGTTACTAAATTCCTATTGAAAGGATCAGGGAGGTGAGGTTTAAGCAAAGAGACATGGAATACAGGATGAAGTTTAAAACTTGGAGGGAGGTCCAGTTTAACAACGTTATCATTAATAATCGTATTTACTTTAAAAGGACCAAGAAAAACAGAGCTTAATTTCTTTGAAGGACGGTTTGTGGTAATATTCCTAGAGGAAAGCCAGACCAGATCCCCTACATTATAAGGAGGGGGAATTCTTCTTTTATCGTCAAAATATTTTTTCTGGTTATTTGTTAAGTTGAAGATTTTCCCGTAATTTGAGAAATAGTGAGGACATAAATTTGTTTTTTGATGTAACAGTAGGATTGGATGAAATATTATTTTGAATGGAAAATGAAGATGGATGGAACCCATAGTTCGAGAAGAAGGGAGTCATTTTCGTACTAGAATGAATAGTATTGTTATAAGAGAATTCGGCCATAGGTAACCATGTGGTCCAGTCATCCTGTAGGTATGAACAATAACATCGAAGATACTGTTCCAGACATTGATTAACTCTCTCTGTTTGTCCATTAGTTTGAGGATGGTAGGCGGATGAGAGTTTGCGTTGAATTTGAAGGGAGAGACACATCTCCTTCCAGAATTTGGAGGTAAATTGTGTCCCTCTATCAGAAATAATTTCTTCAGGAAGACCATGAAGTTTTACAATATTATCTATGAAGACTTTGGATAATTCTACGGAGGAGGGTAATTTCTTTAAAGGAATAAAATGGGCCATTTTTGTGAAGCGGTCCACAACGACAAGAATAGTGGTGGAATGCTGAGATGGTGGAAGATCCACAAGAAAATCCATAGAAATGGATTGCCAAGGTTTTTCTGGAATAGGTAAGTTAAGTAGTAACCCAAAAGGTTGATTATGTTCGGTTTTGGATCTTTGACAGATAGGGCAAGTTTTGACATATAATTCAATGGTTTTATTTTGGCAAGGCCACCAATAATATCGTGAAGTTAGTTCAAGAGTTTTTTTAATCCCAGGATGTCCGGCTAGTGGTGAGTCATGAACCATTTTAAGTAATTTATTTCTAAAAATAGGAGGGATATAAATTCTATTTTTAAAGTAAAATATACCATCCTTTTTTGTTAATATAGGTGTTTTGGGAAGTTCAAGATCTTCTTGATTCAAATTCTTTAAGTCATCTTGAAGAGAGGAAAGGATTCCAATTATTTTGTTAGAAGGATAATCATCTATAGAAGTTTTATAAGAAATTCGGGAGAGGGCGTCAGCTTTTTGATTTCTAGTTCCAGGTCTGTATACTAATTGGAAGTTAAAGCGGTTAAAAAAGAGGTTCCATCTAACTTGTCTAGCTGTAAGGGTTTTGTTAGTATAGAGATATTCGAGATTTTTATGATCAGTATAAACAACTATAGGATGTTTAGTATCTTCAAGAAGATGACGCCAATTTTCAAAGGCAGCTTTAACGCTTAACAATTCTTTTTCACCAATAGGATAATTTTTCTCAGCAGAGCTCAAGGATCTTGAAAAGAAGGCAACTGGATGAAGTGGATCTTGGGGTGTTTTTTGTTGAGAAAGAACTGCTCCGATAGCTGAATCTGATGCATCTACTTCAAGAACATATAAGCATGTTGGATTAGGTAGTTGCAGAATAGGTGCGGTTGTAAATCTTTTTTTTAATTCAGTAAAGGCTTTTTGGGCTTCTTTATTCCAGTTGAAAGGACGTTTACTACTGTTAAGAAGATTAAGTGGATGTGATACATCTGAGTAGTTTCTAATAAATTTCCTATAGAAATTTGCAAATCCAAGAAATCGCTGTAATTCTTTAGTAGTAGTAGGAACGGGCCAGTTAATAATACATTCAATTTTAGAGTTATCCATTTTTAAGGAATGAGGTGAAATAATGTATCCTAGAAAAGATAATTCGGTAACCTCAAAAAGGCATTTCTCTGGTTTAGCGTATAATTTGTGAGTTCTCAATCTAGATAGAACCCATCTTACATGCTTCCTATGTTCATCCAGATTGTTAGAATATATTAAGATATCATCTAAATAGATAATTACACATATATCCAAGAGATCTCTAAAGATATCATTTATGAAATGTTGGAATGTAGCAGGGGCATTACAAAGCCCAAAAGGCATTACAAGATATTCGTATAGACCATATCTTGTTCGGAAGGCGGTCTTCCATTCATCATCCTGTTTTATTCTAATGAGGTTATAAGCGCCCCGAAGGTCGAGTTTAGTGAATATAGTTGCAGTTCTTAATCTTTCAATTAGTTCATTTATTAGCGGAAGAGGATAACGTTTTTTTATTGTTATTTTATTTAAGGCTCTGTAATCTATAATGGGACGGATGGTTTGATCTTTATTTCTCACGAAGAATATACTAGAAGCAGCCGGGGATGTCGAGGGTCTGATGAACCCCTTACGTAAATTTTCATTAAGATATTCCTTTAAGATTTCTAATTCCTTTTCAGAAAGTGGGTAGATGTGACCATAAGGAATGGGAGCTCCAGGTATTAGATCAATTGGGCAATCATATATCCGATGAGGTGGAAGTGTTTCTGCTTCTTTTTTACAGAAGACATCTGAAAAATCGGAGTAGAATGTAGGTATAACTGGTTCTTTAGTAATTTGGAGAATAGGAATATGTTGCAAACATGTTTTTTTACAAAAATCAGAGGAGAAAGAGATGGTAAAGGGAGACCATTCAATTAGAGGATTATGGGTTTTTAACCAATTAATTCCTAAAATGACCGGATAAAGTGGAGATTTAATAACATCAAATGTAAGGAATTCGGTATGAACGTTGTTGGTAGTTATTTTTAGAGGAATTGTCTCATCTTTTATGGGTCCAGAGGATATAAATGAACCATCAATAACTCTGATTGGAACAAAGTGAGTTTTTCAAACACAAGGAATTTTATTTTTTATAACAAAGGAAAAATCAAGAAAGGTTCCATTGGCACCAGAATCAATTATAGCCTCAGTTACGATTCTTTTTGTATCCCACTGTAATATGAGAGATATAGAAAAATAAGTAGATGTATTTCTTTTTTGTAGTACGTTCAATATTGAAGTAGATGAATGATGTTTACCACTTTTTGAATGTTTCAGTAGAGGACAATCGGGAATTAGATGTTCTTTCGAGGCACAATACATACATAAGTTTAATTGTCTCCTTCTTATTCTTTCTTCAGAAGTAAGAGGACTTCTTATTATACCTACTTCCATAGGTTCGGTTTGAGTAGAGAATTTTTCAGTAATTTTAGGAGAAGTGATAGGTTTTCTCCAGGTAGAATTAGTAAGAACTTTTTCAGCTCTTCTTTCTCTTAGACGTCTATCAATACTAATGGAAAGTTGAATCAATGCATTTAAGGTGGGAGGAAGTTCAGTACGAGAGAGCTCATCCTTCACCGCTTATGATAATCCGAGACGGAATTGATTGCGTAAAGAAATGTCATTCCATTGGGTTTCTGTAGCCCATCTTTTGAATTCTGCTATATAGTCTTCAACAGGTCTATTCTTTTGGTGCAGAGTTCTGATGGTTAAATCAGCAGTAGCCTGTTTATAAGGTTCTTCATATAGTAAAGACATAGCTTCAAAGAAGTCATCCAATGAATCTAATATGGGATCATCATTCTCTAAAAAGGAATGGGCCCATGCCATAGGTTCACCTCTTAAAAAAGAGATCACTGAACAAACTTTGGCTCTTTCGGTGAGATAAGATCTAGGTTTTAAGGCTATTAGGAGTTTGCAAGAATTCAAAAACTCTCTGTACTTTGTTCTGTCTCCATAAAATTTTTCAGGATTACAGACAGCAGGATCGCCAGCCGATTGAAGAGCGGCATGAGGAAGGTGACCTTGCATGTCTCTAACATAAGTTAATATTCTCTCATTTGTAATTTGTAGTTCCTGTAAACCCTGAGCAATTGTATCCACTCTATTGGTTAGGGCAGAAACTTGAGAGTTAATATCTGCTGGTTCCATTGTAGAGGCTGGATTATTCTGTGATACTTATGTTTTAATTGGAACTCAACTGCAGAGTTTCCTAATTGAAGTAATTGTTAGATTCACCTCTTTTTATATTGAAAAAAGGAGTAATTCCTATTACCTTAATTACACATGTAAGTTGGTTATTGGAGGATGAATATCTTATAAGCAGATTAATTAGAATAAGAAACTTAATTAGAGAGAATGACACAGTGGATTAATTGGAACAGAAATACTTAACTTAATAAGGCAAGTTCTGGAACTTTAAGGGTTAAATTCACCCGATGGATTCAAAAGATAGTCTGTTAAGTAAGCCGATCTGAGAGTGGAGAGAGGAGAAGTCTGTTTAGCAATCCGTGGTCTAGGAGTGGAGAGAGGAGAAGTCCGTTTAGCAAACCGTGGTCCAGGAGTGGAGAGAGGAGAAGTCCGTTTAGCAATCCGTGGTCTAGGAGTGGAGAGAGGAGAAGTCCGTTTAGCAATCCGTGGTCTAGGAGTGGAGAGAGGAGAAGTCCGTTTAGCAATCCGTGGTCTAGGAGTGTAGAGAGGGGAAGTCCGTTTAGCAATCCGCGGTCCAGGAATGGAGAGAGTAAGAGTCCGTTTAGCAATCCGAGGCCGATACAGGCAGGATGGGGTAAAAACAGCTGATCACTTTTCAGGTACCTGTGCAATAATCCAGCGTTTTGAATCTGGCGCGGTCTCCCTAAATATCGTGGAGGGACCGCGTCAGAGAAAGGGGAGGAGCTAAGCGCCGTGAACCCGGAAGTGGGTTCTTACGGCGAATGTATTTTAAGTTATACCTGACAGGGTGCCATGTACCGGCTACCAACTGCCAAGGTACATCTGAATTGGGGTGCGGGGGAAGGTATGGTGGAGGTGGGGCTGATGCACAAGTTACCAGCTGATGTTGTTTTGGGGAATGACCTGGGGCAAATGACTTCCGCTTTTGTGCCCCAAAGTCCTCGCCATGAGGCATATCCAGTGACCACCCGTCAGCAGGCTCGCACCACGGCTTCATCTTCCACACACTCTGAGGCTCAGGTAAGAGACAATGTACCCCGTGTAACCCGTGTTTCCTGGGATACCCCACTGACTTTGAGGCAGAGGTTAAAAACGATCCCACGTTGCAAATTTATAAGGATAAGGCGACAGCTGGTCAGACAGGTTTAGAGGGAGAACAGTATGTATGGGAGAAAAATCTGTTATATCGTGTTGCTGAGCGGGTGGTAGGGGGGTCTGTACATGTGACTAATAAGCAGCTTATAGTGCCCCAGAAATACCGGCAGGAACTGCTTAGAATTGCCCACGATATTCCGCTGTCTGGGCATTTAGGGATGACAAGAACGAGGTACAGATTGACACATGCATTTTTCTGGCCAGGTATATCTAGAGATGTGAGACAGTATTGTCAGACATGTGACATTTGTCAGAGAGTGGGAAAAAGGGGTGACCGCCACAAAGCGAAATTGTGCCCCCTTCCCATTATTGAAGAACCCTTTAGCAGAGTAGCAGTGGATATAGTAGGACCACTGTCCAAGCCTAGCCCTTCCGGCAAGCGGTATATTCTGACCATTGTAGATTATGCCACCCGGTACCCGGAGGCTATAGCCCTTTCCAATATACAAGCAGAAACGGTAGCCGAAGCTATGATGAAGATATTTTCCAGGATGGGATTTCCCCAAGAGATAATTTCGGATAGGGGGACCCAATTTACAGCCGAAGTGACCCACCAGCTATGGAAGTTATGTGGCATTAAGCCAATTGTAAATTCTGCCTATCACCCGCAGTCCAATGGGTTGTGTGAGCGCTTTAACGGTACCTTGAAGCAGATGCTCAGGACATTTGGGGAGTCCCATAAAGACTGGGAGAGGTTTTTACCCCATCTGCTTTTTGCGTACCGAGAAGTGCCACAGGAATCTACCGGCTTCTCTCCGTTTGAGTTATTGTTTGGGAGAAGGGTGAGGGGACCCCTAGACTTAATTAGAGAACATTGGGAGGGGGGGAGCAGTGCAGATGGAGTCCCCATTGTGCCATACGTGCTGGAGTTCCGGGACCGCTTGGAGGCTCTAACCCAAACCGTACGGGAGAACCTCCGGGCGGCTCAGCGGCGACAGCGCCGGTGGTACGATAGGGGAGCCAGAGACCGTAGCTTTCAGGTGGGACAGAAAGTTCTAATTTTGAAACCTGTCCGCACAGACAAGCTACAGGCCACATGGCAGGGCCCATACCAAGTGGTAGAACAGAGATGTGACACCACTTATGTGATCGGCCCGTGCTCTGGGGTAGGGAAACGACGCATGCTCCATGTGAACATACTCAAACCCTATCACCAGAGAATAGAGGAGGTAGCAGCCATCTGTGCCCCAGCCACTGAGGATTATGAGAATCTGCCCTTGCCAGACATGTTAGAAAAGGAAGATTCTGCAGAAAACGCTACAGGTGTGCAGCTGGGGGAGCGGCTAAGTCTCCAGGAGCGTGCCCAGGTACAGGAGTTGATTGCGGCAAAAGGTGCTACCTTCTCCAATTTACCAGGGTACACTCTGTTAGCTACCCACCGAGTAGAGACCCCAGGACAGCTCCCTATGAGACAGACTCCGTATCGTATCCCTGAAGCAGTAAGGGAGCACATGAGGAAAGAAATTGAGGAAATGTTGCAGTTAGGGGTTATCGAACATTCAGATAGCCCCTGGGCATCACCGGTAGTGCTAGTACCCAAGAAGGATGGCACCACGCGGTTTTGTGTAGACTACCGGAGGCTCAATGACAAAACAGTGTCTGACGCCTACCCGATGCCCCGTATAGACGAGCTGCTAGATAGGATGGCAAGAGGCCAGTATCTCACTACCATTGATCTGTGTAAGGGATACTGGCAGATTCCACTAGCCGAGGAGGCCATCCCCAAGTCGGCGTTTGTCACCCCGTTTGGCCTGTATCAATTTCGGGTCATGCCTTTCGGGATGAAAAACGCTCCGGCTACCTTTCAGAGGATGGTAGATCGGCTACTGGACGGGTTCCAAGAGTACGCCTGTGCGTACTTAGATGATATAGCCATTTATAGCCAGACCTGGGCAAATCATTTGAAACATATTAGTGTGGTCATTGACCGTATTGGAGAGGCAGGGCTGACACTAAAACCTAGCAAGTGTCACATAGGGATGGCAGAGGTGCAGTACCTGGGTCACAGGGTAGGATGCGGACAGCAGAGGCCCGAACCGGCCAAGATAGAGGCAGTAGCTAAGTGGCCTACCCCCAGGACAAAGACACAAGTATTGGCGTTCCTTGGTACTGCTGGTTACTACAGAAAATTTGTGCCCAATTACAGCGCCCTGGCCAAACCCCTGACGGACTTGACCAAGAAAAACTTGCCACAACAGGTCAACTGGGCCCCAGAGTGTGAACAGGCATTCCATGAACTAAAAACTGCATTAACTAAGGCTCCTGTGTTAACTGCCCCTGATCCAACTAAACGATTTCTTGTTCACACAGACGCTTCTGTAGCGGAGAGGCAGTATGGTCCACGATATCTCCGCTGGGTAACAGGAACAACAAAGGATAATCCAGGGAATCAGCATATAGTAATCCAAACAGCACTGCAGTAACCCTTCCTTCCCAAGAACTAGACGACACATAGGCTGGGAGTCAACTGAGGTTTTAATCACAGGTCACAGTATTTATGCAATTCCCCATGCAAGGGGTTTCCAAACTGACATCACAGGGGTTGTACAGGAGGGGACTACATGGGGGACTTACAGTACCACATATTTCTCCCATCAGGCCCCGCTGCACGAGAGGGATCATCCTCCCAGAATGCACCGTTAAGGGGACTATCCCCTCGTGCAGCAGAACCGGCAATTCACATAAAAATCTACAACTGGTATAATATACGGTGGATTTACACGAATGGACGTTCGGTAGATAGCTGGGGTCTGGGCGCATCATTCGTGAGATTGCCGCCCAGATCCCAGCTAAAATAACCGAACGCCGCACAGAAAACACATTTCTTTCCAAACCCACGAAAAGAACCGATTGCTTTTAGTGAACCTGGTCCTGAAACTCCCGAACGTCCTGGAGGCTCAGCGGTGTTCGTGCCGTCGAATAACTGTTGGTAATGCTATGCGTTCGACGACACGGACCCGCTGAAGAACCAGGGATCCAAGATGGCCGACCGCCGCATGGTCGGTAGTCGAACGACGGCCACCCAGGAGAGCCTCTAATAACCGATTGCAACAATGTTGCAATCGGTTAACTAGCGCCACACGCCTCTAAGTGTGTGGGCTATTAGGGGGTATCGCATTCGTTTCACGAACGGCCCTCCAAAGTGCCGTTCGCGAAACGAACGGGAATCCCCATACAAACCGCCATTTGCATTCGGCGGAACAGATAGGTACAGGCAATGCAGGGAATACATGAAGCAGGCACATACAGTTACAACGCATCTCTCTCCAGACCTATAGGCAACCCTTAAAGGCATAGTGTCCAGTTATAGTCCGAGTGGCTAGGTTTGCCACAATGCTCCCCCAGAACCAAGCCGGCATACACAGTCTGATCCCAACGGATCGGCTTGGGGATGTCCGGAGGAGTACTCACGAATCACGGCTCCAAGTCTGTTTGTCTAGACAACCCGTCGGCGTTGCCATTCTGCTTCCCAGGGCGGTAGTGGATAGTAAAGTCAAAAGGCTGCAGCGCCAAACTCCAGCGCAGCAGCCTGGCATTGTCTCCGGACACCCTGTTCAGCCACACCAACGGGTTGTGATCCGTGAGTAAAGTGAAGGGTTGCCCGTATAAGTAGGGTTGCAACTTCTTGAGGGCCCACACCACAGCCAGGCACTCCTTTTCAATGGCGGCGTAGCTTACTTCCCTGGGTAAAAGTTTTCGGCTTAGGTAAGCTACGGGGTGCTCGCCGCCATCGGGTCCAACTTGGCTCAGTACTGCTCCCAATCCAAACATAGAAGCGTCTGTGTGGACGAGAAAGCGTTTAGTTGGATCAGGAGCAGAAAGTACAGGAGAATTAACCAGCGCCGTCTTGAGCTGTTGGAACGCCTGCTCACACTCTGGGGCCCAGACTACTAACTTAGGGAGGTTCTTGCGGGTCAGGTCTGTGAGGGGTTTGGCGAGGGCGCTATAGTTGGCCACAAACTTCCGGTAGTACCCGGCGGTCCCTAAAAAGGCGAGCACTTGGGTCTTGGTGCGAGGGGTAGGCCATTGGGCGACTGCCTCTATTTTAGCAGGTTCGGGTTTCTGTTGCCCACTCCCTACCCGGTGTCCCAGATACTGGACTTCCGCCATACCGATATGGCATTTGCTGGGTTTTAGGGTCAGTCCGGCCTCTCGGATTCGGTCTAGAATGGCTCCTATGTGAACCAGATGTTCGTGCCAGGAGTGGCTGAATATGGCGATATCATCTAGATACGCGCAGGCATACTCCTGGAACCCATCTAACAGTCTGTCCACCATTCTCTGGAAGGTAGCTGGAGCGTTTTTCATCCCGAATGGCATGACCTTAAACTGATACAGGCCAAACGGGGTGACAAAAGCCGACTTAGGGATGGCGTCGTCCGCTAAGGGAATCTGCCAGTATCCTTTGCACAAGTCTATAGTGGTTAGGTATTGACCCCTGGCCATTTTGTCGAGGAGTTCGTCTATTCGGGGCATGGGATATGCGTCAGAGGTCGTTTTATCGTTGAGCCTGCAGCTTATCTTTGTGGACGGGTCGCAGGATTAGGACTTTCTGCCCCACCTGAAAGCTGCGGTCCCTGGCTCCCTTATCATACCATCGGCGCTGTCGTTGTTGCGCTACCTGGAGATTGTCTCGGACGGTCTGGGTTAGCCTCCCCAGGCGTTCCCGGAACTCGAGCACATATGGTAAGATAGGGGTGCCATTAACGGTTTCGTCTCCCTCCCAGTGTTCCCGTATCAAGTCAAGAGGTCCCCTCACTCTCCTCCCGAATAATAATTCGAACGGAGAGAATCCGGTGGATTCTTGCGGCACTTCTCGATACGCGAACAGTAGGTGGGGTAAGAACCGCTCCCAGTCCTTTTGGGTGTCCATGAACGTGCGGATCATTTGTTTCAGGGTTCCGTTAAATCGTTCACAGAGCCCATTGGACTGGGGGTGGTATGGGGAGTTGAGGATTTGTTGTATCCCACATATTTTCCAGAGCTGATGGGTCACTTCAGCAGTAAACTGGGTGCCTCTATCGGAGATAATCTCCCGGGGAAATCCTACCCGGGTGAATATCCTCATCAGGGCCTCGGCTACCGTTTCTGCGTGTACGTTCGTTAGGGCCACTGCCTCGGGGTACCGGGTGGCGTAGTCCACCACAGTTAGAACATACTTCTTGCCGGAGGGGCTGGGTTTTGCGAGGGGACCTATAATGTCTACTGCCACCCTACTGAATGGTTCTTCAATGATGGGCAGAGACCGTAGTCGGGCTTTGTATCTGTCCCCCCTCTTGCCTACCCTTTGGCAGGTATCGCAGGTCTGACAATACCGCTTAATATCCTGGGAAATACCTGGCCAAAAGAAATTTTGGGTCAGCCTGTGCTTGGTCAGACTGATGCCTAGGTGTCCAGACAGGGGGATATCATGGGCTATGCGTAACAGCTCTAACCTATATTTTCGAGGCACTATTAGCTGTTTAATGGGCAACGGTATTGACCCGGACACTACCTTCTCTGCGTGCCGATATAGTAGCCCTTTGTCCCAGATATACCTTTCCCCCTCTAACCCAGCTTGATTTTTATCCATGCGATCTTTGTACACCTGTAACGAAGGATCTAGGGCTACTTCGGCCCCGAACTCTATGGAATTGGCCCAGGGCAGGGTAGGGGGTAGGGGAGGGTCATTGCTTACCTGAGCCTCAGAGTGTTCGAATGGTGCAGTGGTGCGGGCCTGTTGCCGGGTCACAACCGGGTATGCTTCTTGTACGGTGGGCTGGGGAACAAAAGCCGAAGTCAGCTCCCCCAAATCGTTGCCCAAAATCACATCCGCTGGCAAGTCTTGCATCATCCCCACATATACATTCCCGTGCCCCGCTCCCCAATTCAAGTGCACCTTGGCCGTGGGTACTTTGTAAATGGCTCCCCCAGCCACCCGCACAGCCACACAGTCCCCCGTGAGCTTGGGCTTTGGTACCAGATGACTGCGTACTAGAGTTAGGGTGGCTCCCGAGTCACGAAGTCCTTGCACTTTCCTCCCCTCCATGTGTACTTCCTGGCGGTGCCCTTGGCGGTTATCGGAGGCGGCCTGGATAGGGTTCACCTCGTGTAGAGTACCGAGGGGTTCCTCCCGGGTCGTCCCCAACTCCAGATTTTGGTCGGATTCGGCCTGTAGACAGTGGACTGCGGCACGGTTGCTCGGGGCGGCGTTATTCCAGCTGGGTCGAGGCCGGTTCCGTGGGCAGTCTCTCTGGATGTGCCCCTGTTGGTTGCAGGTATGGCACCGGATTGGTGGACGTGCTGAATATCTGGGGGGGTAGGAATTCTGATTTACCCCTGGTCGCTGGTACGTTGCGGGGCCCCCTGGAGGGCTGGCCGTTGTAGGGGGGATGGTGGTTCGGGTTGGTATGGGTTGATCTCTCCGATTGTCCTGGAAATCGTCTGCCATATTAGCCGCTTCCTGCAGGGTGTGTGGCTTTCTGTCCCGGATCCAGTTTTGTAGGTAGGTCGGGACGCCATTGAAGAATTGTTCCAGTACCATTAGCTGGAACAGACCCTCCAATGTATCAACTTGGGCGGCCTCCAGCCACCCTTTGGCAGCTCGTTGTAGCTGGTGCGCCCACTCCACATGGGTGTCCTTACTGGGTTTTTTAATGTCCCGAAACTTCTTTCGGTATGCCTCTGAGGTGATGGCATACCGGGCTAGGATGGCCCGTTTTACTTTAGCGTAGTCTCTACTATCCTCGTCTGGTACTGCCCGGTACGCTTCGGCGGCTCGCCCAGATAATCTCCCCGCTAGTAGGGGTACTCTGTCTGCATCATTAATCTCGTGCAGCAAACACAGTCTCTCGAAATCCTGTAAATAGTCGTCAACGCCACCCTCCGTCTCCACATAGCTTTTGAAGGCTTGATATGGGATTTTGGTTTTCCCTGGGAAACTATGGACTGGCGTTGCGGCTCTTTCTCTGGCTTGCTGGTTTCCTGGCGGTCCCCTAGCCATAATGTACTCCTGTACATCGGCGAACAGCCGGTTAAACATTTCTGTAGATGGTGGTTCAGGAAATAAAGCCAGTCGTGCTCGGAATTCCGCTGTAAATTCGTTGTTTTGTCCCTCCATTTGAGGTGCTGCAGCAGCTGCGGCTCTGTCTCCTTCCATGAGTTCCGTAATTAGGACAGCTTTTGCCTTGTTACTGGCGATTGCTCCTCTTGCTTCCAGCAGCTCCTTTAATGTGCTCCGTTTTAGCAGGGTGTAATCTGTTCCCATTCACCTGCTGTTCGTGAGGTTTATTCGAATGCGCTGATTCCCGAATGCTTGTTCCTTGATTCGTTTAAAAATCTGCCGAACGTTGCTTTGCTGTGTAAATTCAATCCCGTCGCTTGCCACCAATTGTAGCGGAGAGGCAGTATGATCCACGATATCTCCGCTGGGTAACAGGAACAACAAAGGATAATCCAGGGAATCAGCATATAGTAATCCAAACAGCACTGCAGTAACCCTTCCTTCCCAAGAACTAGACGACACATAGGCTGGGAGTCAACTGAGGTTTTAATCACAGGTCACAGTATTTATGCAATTCCCCATGCAAGGGGTTTCCAAACTGACATCACAGGGGTTGTACAGGAGGGGACTACATGGGGGACTTACAGTACCACATATTTCTCCCATCAGGCACCGCTGCACGAGAGGGATCATCCTCCCAGAATGCACCGTTAAGGGGACTATCCCCTCGTGCAGCAGAACCGGCAATTCACATAAAAATCTACAACTGGTATAATATACGGTGGATTTACACGAATGGACGTTCGGTAGATAGCTGGGGTCTGGGCGCATCATTCGTGAGATTGCCGCCCAGATCCCAGCTAAAATAACCGAACGCCGCACAGAAAACACATTTCTTTCCAAACCCACGAAAAGAACCGATTGCTTTTAGTGAACCTGGTCCTGAAACTCCCGAACGTCCTGGAGGCTCAGCGGTGTTCGTGCCGTCGAATAACTGTTGGTAATGCTATGCGTTCGACGACACGGACCCGCTGAAGAACCAGGGATCCAAGATGGCCGACCGCCGCATGGTCGGTAGTCGAACGACGGCCACCCAGGAGAGCCTCTAATAACCGATTGCAACAATGTTGCAATCGGTTAACTAGCGCCACACGCCTCTAAGTGTGTGGGCTATTAGGGGGTATCGCATTCGTTTCACGAACGGCCCTCCAAAGTGCCGTTCGCGAAACGAACGGGAATCCCCATACAAACCGCCATTTGCATTCGGCGGAACAGATAGGTACAGGCAATGCAGGGAATACATGAAGCAGGCACATACAGTTACAACGCATCTCTCTCCAGACCTATAGGCAACCCTTAAAGGCATAGTGTCCAGTTATAGTCCGAGTGGCTAGGTTTGCCACAGCTTCCATGTTTGGATTGGGGGCAGTACTGAGCCAAGTGGGAGCTGATGGCGGAGAACATCCCGTAGCTTACTTAAGCAGAAAATTACTACCAAGGGAAGTAGGCTACGCTGCCATCGAGAAGGAATGCCTGGCCGTGGTGTGGGCCCTCAAAAAGTTACAACCTTATTTGTATGGACAACCATTCTCCTTGCTCACAGATCACAACCCGTTGGTGTGGCTACACAGGGTGTCAGGAGACAATGCCCGGCTGTTGCGCTGGAGTTTGGCGCTGCAGCCGTTTGATTTCACGATCCATTATCGCCCTGGAAAACAGAATGGTAACGCCGATGGGTTGTCCAGACAGACAGAACTTGAGAAATGATCTGTGAGCACTCCCCCGGACATCCCCAAGCCGATCCGTTGGGATCAGACTGTGTATGCCGGCTTGGTTTTGGGGGAGCATTGTGGCAAACCTAGCCACTTGGGACTGCCTAAGATAGAATGGTTGTGCCTATTTTCTGTTGTGTACTGCGCGCCGGTATAGTGTGGCGTCTCCGGCTATGTTTAATTTATGCTGTACTGTGTATGTCTGTTCGAATCCTCCCCATTCGTTAGCATTGCTATTAAAACTGACTAAGTTGTATATTTTGAAGTAGAAAGGTAACGGTTTATGTCCTCGTAGTTTTCATTACTGTATGTTACAGCAGGGGCTGTTGGGAGGAGGACCTGGAAACTGTCAAATTCCAGCTGTAGTTGTTCTGGTGACTATAGTGTCCTTTTTTAAAGGGGACATCTTTATGATGTTAGTAGGATGTGCACTCTGCTCTCCATAACTTCCCATAAAGGTCAGTGACGCTCCGATCTAGTGATAGCAGATGTTTTAATTCATCTTCTGGAGCCACTGCTGAATTTGTTTAGTTGTGTGTTAAGAGGGGGTGGGGAATTTGGAAATACCATGATAATCCTGGACAATCATTCACCAAATCAGTTCTTACTGTCCAGCCCTTGTAACACAATGCATCAATACACAATTTAAAAATTTAACATATGTTTATTCTTTATATTGTGTATTGATACATTGTTATTGTTTTATTGTGGTCCCCGAGGAAACGCGTAGGACTATTTTTCTGCTATTCATATCCTATGCTGAATTGGTGACTACTTTTTTATTGAATAAATCTTTTTATTACCTAACCCTGACCTGCGGATATCTTTTGGTAAAATAAGTATCCAGAGGTGATAAAACGTACCAGCTAGCCCCCCATCATATCGGGGGAGGCACCCTATGAGCGCTTATCCTGTCTACATCTTGTGAGTGAAAAAGATTGTGTTTTATAACAATATCACACTATGTTTTGTTTTATGCCTTTCTTGTAGATTTGCACAGCCACATTCCGAACCTTCTTTGTTGTGGTCACAAAGCATGGCACTGATTTATAACAATCCCCCTCTTTACGCATATATGTTTGTAACTTTAAAAATACATTTTATATATATATATGTGTAATTATTTGTTGTGGTATCTTTCCATAAAATATTCAGATTTCATCAAATCACACATTACACGGTTATTTTCTTAACTGGGAATTCAAAGTGAATTTTAAACTCAATGCCAGACTAGCTGAACTGAAAGCCTAGTGACAAAGGTTCCAGTTCGGCTAATTAAATTCACTTTTAAATCTCACTTTAGTGAGTAACCGTGATTACAGTCCAACAGACAAAGTCTTTTTTCCTAATTGCCACTGACTGCTAAACCTGATCAGTTAGTTCCAAAGAGTGATTTCTAAGCTTGTAAAAAGCGGAGTTCTATCCACAGAGATCTGCGAAGCACACACATGGGTAGATAAATGGATTGGATGGGAATTAACGCAGGAGACAAATAGAATCATACCTCTGGAGGACTCAAGTGCAGTCCGTCCGACTGGTCTGTCAGAGACCGATTTAACAAGAACCTGTTTCTCTTCCTCAATCTTTAGCAGAATATCCGGCACAAGCACGGCACTGCCTGACAGGGGACAGAGCAGAGACATTGCCTTTAACACAGACAAAAATAATGAATACATAAAAAAAATTAAAAAAAGCATTATAAGGAAACGCCTAACACCGGGACTTATTACATGTAAATAGAAGCTTAAGAAAGCAGTTCACAGTCAGTGATAACGCTGCAATATACAATATGATAACACAGGTCACAGCCAGTTATAACGCATAAATATACAGTAAGATAATGCAGGTCACAGCCTGTGATAACTCAGCAATAACTGTGCAATAACGCAGGTCACAGCCTGTGATAATGCTGCAATATACAGTATGATAATGAAGTTCACAGCCTGTGATAATGCTGCAATATACAGTATGATAATGAAGTTCACAGCCAGTGATAACGCAGCAGTAAACAGTGATAACGCTGCAAAAACTGGTGTAATAACGCAGCAATATATGGTGCGATAACTAACGCAGCTCACAGCCAGTGATAAAGCAATAAACGGTGTGATAACGAAGGTCACAGCCAGTGAGTTTTAGTAGATATCTTGCTATTATTGATAATGTCTAAAACTACTAGCGTTGCTTGATTTTACATTAAAGAATATACTCCAGTTATTAGTATTTAAAGAATTTAAAATGTATTTAGCTCAAATTTGGATCTGTGCCATATAAAAAAATATATCGTCCGTGTACCTAAAATAGTAAGCCTGGTGTTTCCATAGCCATGTTCAAACCACATAAATGCTTCCTCCCAAGCGGCCATAAATAAAATGGCATAGCTGGGTGCAAACCTGGTACCCATTGTGGTACCCTGTCTTTAACTATATAAACTGTCTTTTCAATAAAAAAGTTATTCCTTAAAATTACATTATTAACCTTGGTTAGTGGACCACTAACATTTCAATAAGGTGGTCTTGGTCCAGAGGTCCTGTATTTTTAACCCTTCAAAGTAAAGCACTGTCTGTTTTGCAGAGAGGGCAATGTTTACATTGCAGAGTTTACACCCACCTCTAGTGACGGTCACACTGACAGCCACAAGAGGAGCTTCCCATGTACTGAATAAGACTCGATCACGTAATGTTAAAGCTCATAAGAAAGCATTGGATTCATGCTGAGTGCCAAGCATGCGCACTAGGTTCCTAATGCTCCTCTATGAGGATCATTGAATTGGACGGTGGACGGAGTAAGTCATGCCTCATTCATAACATGGCGGGACGTGGCGAGTCCAGCAGCAGATTAAAAAAAAAAAAATGAAGCTTTTTGCTTTAAGTTAGTTTTATGGAAAACAGTGGGAACCACTATGGCGTTAATAATACAAGTTTGTATTCATAACACTATAATGTTCCTTTACACATCTATTTGGGTATTCAGGACACTTCCACTTTATTCGAGCTTGAATCTTACAGATTCACACCCTTTTCGCTGGGTTATGGCTGTACATGAAGACTTGAGCTGTAACGGTTTTGCTGATTATAGAGTCCCTTTTAATTGTTTCTACACAGTGCCATATGGCTGCGCCCTCTATAAAGAACGCCATGCTCCCAGACTCACTCACTTGTTGATGGGATCTCATTCCGTCTTTTTTCTATTGACTTCTCAATCTTCACCAACAGATCAGGATTTAGGATCCGGTACCCTGACAGATCAAATACATTTTATTAATAGGCGCTCAGAAAAATTACTGAATGAACGCACACACAGAGACAAACACACAGACACACAACATTCTATGTGGCATTATCTCTTCCCTCCCTGCCCCTGCAGTCCCTTCTATTCACCCTCCCTTCCCCCGCAGTCAGTGTCCCTTCTAACTATCCTCACTACCCACGCAATCCATACGCTCCCAACCCCTGCAGCCCGGGTCCCTTCTCTCTACGCTCCCAACCCCTGCAGCCCGGGTCCCTTCTATCTACGCTCCCAACCCCTGCAGCCTGGGTCCCTTCTATCTACTCTCCCAAACCCCGCAGTCAGTGTCCCATCTATCCACCCACCCTGTCCCCCGCAGTCCATTCTATCCACCCACCCTGTCCCCGCAGTCAGTGTCGCTTCTATCCACCCTCCCTGACCGTAGAGTCCCTTTTATTCACCCTCCCTGTCCCCCAAAATCAGTGCCCCTTCTATCCACCATCCCTAACCCCGGTGTCCCTTCTATCCACCCTCTATACCCCCACAGTCAGGGTCCCTTCGATCCACCCTCTCTACTCTCGCAGTCAGGGTCCCTTCTATCCAGCCTCTCTAGGCATTCGATTTTACCCAGGTTTTGGAGGGCTCTGTGAATCTCCTTCATTGCATTTCTGTAGATCTCTCGCTGCCATTCCTCCATGATTTCCCAATCTTCCTCCTCAAAACACGCTGCCACATCATGAAATGTCACGGTCACCTGGAGAGGACAGTAACTGGTTATAAACTCAATTAGCCCCGTCTACAATAAACAGATTGGACATTACTGTGCCGTACACTACTGGAGGAATATGGAGAAAGCCCAGTTACATGAAGACGGGACATTGCAGGACGTTAGTTACACTGGGAGTAACAATCGCCGACCTAGGGGCTCTCAATCACCGACCTAGGGGTTAACAATTACTCATAAAGAAGCCTTCGATCGGAGAATGTATCAAGCTCAGATCACAAGAGCGCTCTGAGTCGGCAAGACGGAAGTCGACAATCAGCGTGGGTGGGGGTTCAGCCTGCAAAGGAGACGCAGTTACGGCTGTCAGCAGTGAGAATTCTAAGTGAATTTTTAAGTGCAAGTTTATAATAGAGAATGTTTCCAGATTGGCTAAGTCAGCTGTGCTTTCAGTTCAGCTACTTTGGCCTTAAATTTGAAATCCAATTTGAATTCTCAGTGATTAACACTGTGTTATCTGATAATGCACATAGTATGCCTAAAGGCAACACTTCTTAGTATATTTAAAACAAACAAAATAATATATAGACACACACTAAACGAGATCTTGTTGTTAGAAAGATTACATTAAATGAAACGGATTTGAATTGTCACCTGTAAGGTCCAAGAAATATCAACAATTACTAATGACCCAAAAGCTAGCACTCACCATGGCAGAGGAACTGCATTTTCTTTTCTCTGTTCCGACCCTACGATGTTCCATCTGGAGATTAATATTCAACTGCATACGGCCAGTTCTGCAAATGGACAAAGGAACAGGTTGTAAAATCCCCAAAAAGTGGCCACCACAGAGAGAGATAGCCGGTCTTGTCTTCTATAAGGTGCGTGGTGACCTCAGGATGGTATATGTCCCAGCGGAAGATCTTATGAACTTATTATTTATCGGTTTATGCAGATAAAAACAAAAAATATAGTGTACACTACTAGAAACCATAAAATATTAAAACAGATGGTCACTGGAGGTGCTTCCTGGGGCAGTACTGCACAGTAGGAAGCACTGCCATTCAGCGTCTCCATGCTCTGCATGGAGACACTGAATTTTCCTCATAGAGATGCATTGATTCAATGCAGCTCTATGAGGAGGTGCTGATTGGCCTAAACGGCATTTGGCCCTGCCCCCATCCTGCCTGCTTGCCGATTTCAGCTAATTCAATGCTCTCTTTATGAGAAAGCATTGGATTGGCTAAAAATCTGAAATTCTGATGTCACCAAGAAGGCGGAGGTGGGGCCACCGTCGGCAAACCCGCTTGGTGCTGGAAATAAGGTGCGTTTTAACCCCCTTCTAAGGGAGCCAAGCCACCTAAATGGAGGATTAAACACTATAGGGTCAGGAATACATGTTGATGTTCCTACCCCTATAGTGATCCTTTAATATTCTGTGTTTTTTAGCAGTGTACACTGTATTTTTTTTATTTTATCTGCATAAGAAATCACGGCATTTAATTACAAGTTCATAAGGTCTAGTGCTGGGACATATACCACCTTGAGCTAACCTGCCTACCTGAGGTCAGCATGCATCTTATTAAAGAAGAGACCAACCATCCTTAGACGGGGATCATACCGCCCTGGCGCTACATAGTAAAACTACTCAAGCTCTATACTTCGTAAGTGCACCTCTTTTTAATCTTAACTATTTTAAACAAAATATACTGCACAAGATTTTGTTGTATTCTCTCTCTTTTATATACTCAACTACTACCGAGACTACTTCTATCTCTGAGATCACACCAAGGCGCTAGCCCCTCCTATCACACGTACTTTCTTTTGGACCGGAACAGAGACTTGTTTGGGTGTTTGAGCTGCCTTCAATGGTACGCGCTAGAAACCTATATTGTAAATATAGGGCCAAAGCCCTCTGACTCCTGGACACAGAAATATTTTGCCACCCCTGAGAGTAGCAGCGTTGTCACATATATGGTGGCAAACCTTTTGAGAGGAATAAATATGTCAAATGCATGACATCATAACATACGGGGCATGATCCAAGCACTCAAAGGCTCACATAAATTTTCAAGCAGAATTGCCAAAATGTTTTCATATCACCATATTCAGTCTGTAGCCAATAGTGCCCATCAATAGCTAGAGAATGTAGTAAGCATTTTTCACATTACTTCACAAAACACTACATATCTATACCTGTTGGGTACAATTTTATTCAGTGGGCTTAGCAAAACCAAAACTGGAAAATGTTTCAACATTGACTGTTGGGAAGAATTAGTCCATTCTGATAATGTTACATCAGAACTGGCAGCCAGAAGAATTAACCCACTCTGGCAAAGCTGGATCAGAAATGGCTACCAAGGCAAAAAGCCTGCTCTGACAAAGCTAGATCTGAATCAGCTGCCAGGATAAATTGATGTACTCCGGCAACACTAGACAGGAGTGGGCCCACTCCGGCAACACTAGACAGGAATCACAGTCAGGAGAATTGGTCCACTGCAACATCTGACTGGAATCTGCTGCAAGGACAATCTGCACACTCCGGCAACGCTACACAGGAGTGAGCCCACTCCAAAAACACTAGACAGGAATCGCGGTCAGGAGAATCGGTCCACTGCAACACTTGACGGTTACCATCAGCAAGGACAATCTGCGCACTCGACCAACACTAGATAGGATTGGAATCGGCCCACTCCAGCAATACTAGACAGGAGTAGTCTGCCAAGAGAACTGTCCCTCTAGCAATGCTAGATCTGAACTGGTTGCCAGAGGAATCAATCCATTCTTGTAACTGTGACAGTTGAGAAATAAACGATTTACACAATGCACTTGGCATGTGAGCTGAACATCAGTCTCTGTTTGTGGTAAGACAATGTGTTGAGGTCCAAGCATTCCTTGACAGTAGGCGGATTAGCACAGACGTTTCAAGTTTCAAAAGAATGTGAGACCAGGATGCTAAGCTCAGGAGCTCTGGATTCATTGGTCAAAAAGACTCAACTCTGATCAGTAGACTGAGAGCTCTGTTTGCCAGTGCTATTCTGTATTGCTCTATATATTATTATATTATATTGCTCGATATTAGACTATGTGCCCCTGGGCCATCCATCTCCAACATAATTTTTCATTCTAAGATTAAAATTTTTTGTCATTCCATAGTATTGGGATTCTAAAACAATGGTGTACAATCAAAGGAGCATATACTGAAAGACAGAACAAAGCAAAAAAACAAAAATTGGTACTTGTGGTTTAGATACGGTGTATATCGGAGAGAAGTAGTAATGGTTTGTGGACTCTCCATAGAGTTGCAGTATCTAATAACAATGTACTCGGTGACTCGCCAGATATTGCTGAGTAGTTCGATATAGAAGCTGTTACCTGGTGATTGTATCTCTGCCAGAGCAAAAACACTTAGTGAAAATAAGTTCTGACGTTTTAAATAGTTTTGGTACATAGTTATCTATCCAAATCTGCACCTCAATCCACTTGGCTGACACCAACAAAAAGAATATTCCGGTGCGGGCACTGCAAAGCCTGCAAACACATAACTCCAACCAAATCAATCAAATTGTTTGTAACACATCAAAATTAGGAGTTAAAATCATTCAATGTGATATATTTGGCGAACTGTTTTTGTGGACTTCAATACATAGGAAAGATCACACAACAATTACAACATATACACACGAATAATGCTGGCACCGACACACCAATAACCAGCAGTGGCGTACAAAGGGGGGGGCGGTTCGCCCCGGGTGCCACCAGGGTGGGGGGTGCCATGACCAGCCCCGCCGGCCCCCCCATGCTGCAGCCGCCCGAGCGCTCTGTAAAGAGCCTCAGGTGGCTGCAGCTTTGCCCGGGCGGTGCGTCCATGAGGGCGGACCGCACCACCCGGGCGCAGCCTGAGGAGAGGCTGACAGGAGGGAAACGCTGAGCGCTCCCTCCTGTCAGCTTCCTTTGCTGTAGCGTGGCCGAGCCCTGCAGCATTGATAGTCCGACGGGTACAGGGAGCAGCTGTCTCCTGTACCCGGCCGGACTAACAGGAAGTGCACACTGAGTGTGCACTTCCTGTTAGTCCGGCCGGGTACAGGAAACAAAAGCTCCCTGTACCCGTGGACTATACAGGGCTCGGCCACGCTACACACAGGTAGGGAGGGGGTGTGAGAAAGAGAAAGGGAGGGGGGGGGTGGGAGGAGAAAGGGGTGAAAAGAGAGAAAGGAAGAGAGGGAGGGAGAGAGGAGGGAGGGGGAGAAAGGAGGGGGGGGAGAGAGGCAAGGGGAGAGAAAAGGGGGGTGAGAAAGAGGGGGAGAAAGAGAAAGGAGGGGGTGAGAGAGAAATTGGGGGAGAAAGAGAAATTAGGAGGGGGGGAGAGAAATTGAAATTAGGAGAGGGGGAGAAAAATTGAAATTAGGAGGGGGGGAAGAGATATTAGGAGAGGGGAAAGAGAAATTAGGGGGGGAGAGAAATTAGGAGGGGGGGTGAGAAAGAGAAATTGGGAGGAGGAGAAGGAAATTGGAGCGGGAGGAGAGATTGACATTCATCACATACACACAACGCACCCCTTGCACACAGAAAAACACACAATGCATTACACACACAGACACAAATACACAAGCAATGCAACCGTTACACACAATGCATTCATTACACACATTCAATGCATCCCATACATACACAGAAACACACCTTGCAGCCCTTACACATACAAACACAATTCACACAATGCATTCCTTACACACATATCAGGACATCCCCTACACACTCCACCCCCTGTGAACAAACTCATTGGTGGAACATGAAGGTGGACCCTGGGACCCAGACCTTGAGCTGTGTAAAGGACCCCCAAAAAATGGAGCTGCTTCCCGTTCTCCCAGAACATTGATTTTTGTGACCACAGTTACAAACCGCCTCCAGAGAGCCTGTTCTGCACCAGACCAGTGGAGCCAGACTGCAGCTAGAGCTCATCATCATCCTCATCTGGTTGTAAGTAGGCAATCTAGTATATTATTCGTGGCACTAATCTCTAATTTACCTCACATTAAAGGGACACTATAGTCCCCAGAACCACTTCAGCTTAATGTCACATGGGGGGGGCGGCAAACTTTACTTTTACCTAGGGCGGCAAAAATCCTTGCACCGGCCCTGGCTGGAGGGGGCTGTGTGAGCTGTGGCCGCACAGTGTCCCATGGTAGTTAGGGTGCCGTGCGGCCAGCACAGCTCACACAAGCAAACAGCTGATAAACTGGCCGCACGGAGGAAATGTGTAACAGAGTGTGTGACTGTCTGCCTGTAACAGAGTGTGTGACTGTCTGCCTGTAACAGAGTGTGTGACTGTCTGCCTGTAACAGAGTGTGTGACTGTCTGCCTGTAAATGTGTGTGTGGGGCTGCAGGGATTTTGTAGAAGGGGGCGGGGGTTTTGGATTGGGACAGGAGTCTTTATAAGGGGGGATAAGCAGGGGATTTGTGGAAGGGGGTTGCGGGGGTTTTGTAGACGGGGCAGTACAGGATTTGTAGGAGGGGCAGGACAGAGGTTTTGTAGGAGGGGCAGGACAAGGGTTTTGTAGGAGGGGCTGACAGCGGTTTTGCAAACTTTACAAATTGTAAAGAAAAAAGAAAGAAAACCTTTAACTTTTTTTTTTGGGGTGCCAAGCACAGGATCCGCCCCGGGTGCCAAATGCTCTAGGTACGCCCCTGATAACCAGACATGTACATAACTTCGACAACGGTGGAACGTCAAGTCTGTCTTTTCAGGCCATCGAAAATAAAAAGACATCTCCACTTAAACCCCAAAATACTACAACAAGTATCAAGGTCGATCTTTACCTTCAAAACATTGAGTCCATTAGGACTTAATGGAGAATTCAACTACATGACTTTTATCAACTAAACTATAGATGTTTAGATCATAAAAATCTCTCACACCAATTATACATTTGGAAAAATACTTATTTTCACATGACATCATTCATAAATATATACATTTACTTTTAAAGACTCCTTTATCTTCATAACATACACTTATTTCTCACATCAGGTCTTGAAATATTTGATCAATTAGGACTCGCCATTTCCCCCATAAAAATTTATTTTCTTTTAAATGATCTCTCTCTATTATGGAAACTCGGGGACACCCACGTATATAGTAGATAAGAGGAGTGAGACAGCGCTTAATAACTATAGGCAGCAACCTTAAAAAGGGAATCCCTCAGACCCTTATAAAACAAGATAAAACAAAAAGCAATAAAAGGCTGCGCACACTAAATAAAATCCAATAAAAGGAAAGACAGTCCAACTGGTATATTCTTATAGGTGTCCTTGGTCTTCTATTTTTGTGGTGGTTTCACTTGTTATGAAAGATAAAAAAACCTAAAAATTCCTGGAAGTTTCCTGTACCCAAAGAAATCCAAAGGTGGGGATCAATCCACCCAAGCTATCATCAAAGAGCAGTGGGTCTGCTCTTACTTTGTAAGTACATTTCTTTTATTATTTTATTACTATCTGTCATTCAGTGAGCACTATTGGCTGTTTGTTTTATCCCGAGAATTGGACACCATCCACGGAGAGGAACCTGCCTTATATCCCATAAGCGGGGATTAAACCGCTGTACGCGCTTTACTCCAGAGCTGGACATTACCTCTGGTAAATGTGAGTTTTATACTATTATTTTTTACGTCTATACCTGAATTTTACATACTACACCATTGGATGTCCTTTTTCCCTCTTTTTATCTTTCATAACAAGTGAAACCACCACAAAAATAGAAGACCAAGGACACCTATAAGAATATACCAGTTGGACTGTCTTTCCTTTTATTGGATTTTATTGCTTTTTGTTTTACACCCACGTATATACTGCCATATAACGGATGCCTCTATACAAACTGTCTTTAATGCACATTTCTCCATGTATATAAAAGGACTTGTCCCTACATATTATTTTCATAGCACAAACGTTTAGTTGAAACTTTAATATACAAAAACCCATTCGTACATATATAAAATATGGGACAATATCCCCCTAGGGACACCTCCAAATGGCCACTCATTAGATGGCCATTGGAGGTGCTTCCTGGCTCAGTGCTGCACAGTAGGCAGCAATGCCACTCAGCATCTCCACGTTCTGAATGGGGACATTGAATTTTCCTCATAGAGAGGCATTGATTCAATGCAGCTCTATGAGGAGGTGCTAAAAAAAAAAAACACTATTTCCACAACCAGTGTGTAGTAGTGAAGGTATGTAGCACTAAATAATATCCACTTACTCCCCAGAGGGTATAGATAATCTTCTGGTAACTAGGAAAAATTATATTTCTAAAAATGTTCCTAGCCAGAAGATTATCTATACCCCTAAAGGAATCTGAGGAGTAAGTGAATATTATTTAGCGCTACACACCTTCACTACTACACACTGGTTGTGGAAATAGTATTTTTTTTGCATTTGATTATAGTAGGACTGGAGAGGTCCCACGTTTTGTGTGAGTGCGGCTGTATTAAGAGCACTTGTTAAATTCGGTTTTAAGCGCCTGTTATCACAGAATATCTTGTTTTATTATTGATCACTATGAGGAGGTGCTGATTGGCCAAAACGATGTTTGGCCCCATCACTTGCCCATGAGAAAGCAATGGATTAGGTAAAAATGGGCAATTCTGATATCACAAAGGGGGCGGAGCCAGCGCCCGTGGACCTGCGCAGCGCTGGAAATAAGGGGAGTTTTAATTGATTTTAACGGGGTTAAGTGGGGTGGCACCTTAATGGTGTGTTTAGCAATATAAGGTCAGGAATACAGGTTAGTGTTCCTGACCCTATAGTGTACCTTTAAGAATGGATGTATAACACCCCCCTCCCCCTTTTTTTCCTGCACATATAAAGATGGCTATGATAAAACACCTTTGGGGCATACTGCTCAATAAGACTACGCTTTTATTTTTCAATTGCTCTGAGCCATCTATAAACATATCAATGGACACTTCAATATGTATTCACATTTCCAATTTGATCTATTTATCATACTGAATAAGTCCCATTAGCGATTAATTTATTGACTTTTATCAGAATAAACCTATACTTTAAATATATTGACCTATTCAGTATCGGTATCTCAAAACTTTAAAACAGAGAAAAATCACTTGGAGAATAAGGTCCCATTAATAACGAACTAATGTATCTCTATGTGGATAGGTTTGGGCTGGAAATCACAGCTTCTGGACATAAATGTATCGCAATAACTGGATCCCGATAGGAAAAAACATTCAAAGTTGAACGAATTTAAAGTATTTCCATAACCAAACAGTGCTCAACCGCTACATTTCGGAACTTTACTTTGAGTCTATTGGACTACATTGACATACACGCTTTACTAGAGATATTACCGGTACATTAAAAACATGGATTCGTTTCGGAGATCCGCTCTTTGACTTTTTAAGGGAAAGAGGTTGAAGGATCTTGAGAAAAACCGCTTAGCGGATAGCGGCAGATTAACCAAAGACTATCGAGATTAGCCTTTTTTAAAAACCAGACAATTTGGAAACAACCCCCACACTCCTGATGATCCCGGCTAACGGTTACCGGGTGAAACGCGTGTCGGGTGTATACTAACGTGGGTCTTGAACCAGAAGGCTATCAGACTTTACCAAAACCTTTTTGATAAAACGTATTATTATCTTAGCCGCGGGTTCAGTGGGGACCAAGTCCGCATTATTAGTTTTACTTCCTTTTGGTAACTTCTAATTTTGACGTTCTTTTTCCTTTAGCAGTAGCTGTGTAAGAATTGGAAGCCGTTTTATTCTGCTATTTCGGGCTCACAATATGGAGAGAACCAGTGCCGGCTGTCAAATACGTTGTAGGGACAAGTAGTAGGGACCAACCGGCTGCCTGCTACCTCGAATATATGGTATTATATGTTATAGACTTATGGGATCCCCATACTATTTAAAACGTCAGAATTGGTTTTCACTAAGTTTTTTTGCTCTGGCAGAGATACAATCACCAGGTAACAGCTTCTATATCGAACTACTCAGCAATATCTGGCGAGTCACCGAGTACATTGTTATTAGATACTGCAACTCTATGGAGAGTCCACAAACCATTACTACTTCTCTCCGATATACACCGTATCTAAACCACAAGTACCATTTGTTGTTTTTTGCTTTGTTCTGTCTTTGAGTATATGCCAATACTAGGGAATGACAACATTTTTTTAATCTTAGAATTAAAAGTTAATTTTTAATCGAAGTTTCACCACCACTCTCCCCCCCCCACCTTTTTTTTTTTATTTCAGGCCCAAAACCCCTTTATCCTCCTAATATCACTACTAGCTGACCAGTGACCGATAAGAAATCTCTCTCCTTTTGTCTCTAAAATAATTACACTAAGATCCTAGATTGTTCTCTCCTATGCTACACCATCTTCATTGTGAACAATTCACATTTCACTTAATACAGCAATTATATTATCACCATATTATACAGCAATTAATATTTTATCATTACATTATACAGCAATTATCATATCACATTACTATATTATACAGCAATTATATCATCACCATATTATACAGCAATCACCATATTATACAGCAATTATATCATTACATTATATTATACAGCAATTATATCCTCACCATATTATTATACAGCAATTATATCCTCACCATATTATACAGCAATTATATCCTCACCATTATATTATACAGCAATTATATTGTCACCATATTATACAGCAATTATTATATCATTACATTATACAGCAATTATATCACATTACTATATTATACAGCAATTATATCACCATTATTATACAGCAATTTTATCACCTTATTATTATACAGCAATATATTATAAAACAATTCTCATATTATACAGCAATTCTCATTATTATATTACACAGCAATTATCACATTATTATACAGCAATTATATAATCACATTATTATACAGAAATTCTCATCACCATTATTATACAGCAATTCTCATCACCATTATTATACAGCAATTCTCTCGTTATTATATTATACAGCAATTATCTCATCACCATATTATTATACAGCAATTCTATTATATAGCAATATCACCATTATATTATACAGCAATTATATCACCATATTATATTCTATTATACAATCACCGTTATATTATATAGCAATTATATCCTCACCATTATACAACTATTATATAATCAGATTATTATATTAGACAGTAATATCATCGCCATTATATGGTTATACAGCAATTATCACCATTATTATACAGCAATTATATCATTATTATATTATACAGCAATATCACCATTATAGTATTATTATACAGCATTTCTATTATATAGCTATATCACCATTATATTTTACAGCAATTATATAATACAATCACCATATTATATGGCAAGTATATCCTCACCATTATATTATTATACAGCAATTATATCACCACCATGGTCATTAGAATTGGATCTGCTGGGTCTAGCCATCACTAATGCCATTAGATTGTGAGCTCCTAAGCGTTCGCTTATAGTGACAAACTTTGAGATCTTAGCAAACATCTTCCAATGTGATTAGACTGTAAACTACTGCAACCAGCAGTCTATTACAAGATCCTGTAGGCAGCGGTCAATATCTTAAAAGAAAATCTTACAGTGCAAGCCTTTTCCCCTACAAACCTCCATTAACATTAGTGGTAAAATCCTGACTGAGCATCCTCCAGGATTATCAGATTGGAAGCTCCTGGGCCCAGCCATTGCCAATATAAGTAGACTAAACTGCTGGGAATATTAGAAGCGCCGTCCTTAGACTACAAGCTCCTGCATCCAGCTCTTTCCAATTTGATGAAAACCTGAGTTCTTGGATCCAGTAGTCGTAGTAGAATTGAATTGCAGCTCTTGCGCCCAGCTCTTTCCAATGTGATTAGACTGAACAACAGTGTCTATTAGTGGTATCATTAGATTGCAAGCTCTTGGGCCCAGCTCTTTTTAAAAGGATTACACAGCGAACTCTTGGGGCCAGTAGTAGCATCAGTAAATCGCAAGCTCTTGCATCCAGTTGTTTCCAATGTGAGCACCTGCCCCTAGTATGGGAGTCATTAGATTGTAAGCTCCTGGGTGCAGCTATTTCAAATATGACTGGACTGTGAGCTCTTGGGTCCAGAAGTAGTGTCATTACATGGTATGCTCCTGGGTCCAGTTATTTCCAATTTGGTTAGATTGCAAGCTCTTGGGTCCAGTTATTTCCACAATCATTAGATTGCAAGCTCTTGGGTCCAGTTATTTCCACTATCATTAGATTGCGAGCTCCTGGGTCCAGTTATTTCCACTATCATTAGATTGCGAGCTCCTGGGTCCAGTTATTTCCACTATCATTAGAGTGCGAGCTCTTGGGTCCAGTTATTTCCACTATGATTAGAGTGCGAGCTCTTGGGTCCAGTTATTTCCGCTATGATTAGAGTGCGAGCTCTTGGGTCCAGTTATTTCCGCTATGATTAGAGTGCGAGCTCTTGGGTCCAGTTATTTCCACTATGATTAGAGTGCGAGCTCTTGGGTCCAGTTATTTCCACTATGATTAGAGTGCGAGCTCTTGGGTCCAGTTATTTCCACTATGATTAGTGTGCGAGCTCTTGGGTCCAGTTATTTCCACTATGATTAGTGTGCGAGCTCTTGGGTCCAGTTATTTCCACTATGATTAGTGTGCGAGCTCTTGGGTCCAGTTATTTCCACTATGATTAGAGTGCGAGCTCTTGGGTCCAGTTATTTCCACTATGATTAGAGTGCGAGCTCTTGGGTCCAGTTATTTCCACTATGATTAGTGTGCGAGCTCTTGGGTCCAGTTATTTCCACTATGATTAGTGTGCGAGCTCTTGGGTCCAGTTATTTCCACTATGATTAGTGTGCGAGCTCTTGGGTCCAGTTATTTCCACTATGATTAGTGTGCGAGCTCTTGGGTCCAGTTATTTCCAATATGATTAGTGTGCGAGCTCTCGGGTCCAGTTATTTCCAATATGATTAGTGTGCGAGCTCTCGGGTCCAGTTATTTCCACTATGATTAGTGTGCGAGCTCTTGGGTCCAGTTATTTCCAATATGATTAGTGTGCGAGCTCTTGGGTCCAGTTATTTCCAATATGATTAGAGTGCGAGCTCTTGGGTCCAGTTATTTCCACTATGATTAGAGTGTGAGCTCTTGGGTCCCTCTCCCGCCAGCCCCGCCCTCTGTCCCCGGTAAACTCACCCGGTCCCTTAGAAGATACCGGACCAGAAGTCCAAATCCACCAGACCGGAACCGGAACCTCCGTCTGTGCACAGAGCGGGTCACAGTGCGTGTACCCGAGACACCGTACTGCGCATGTCACCGTTATAGTAACAGCCCACCGCGCATGCGCATTCCTGCAGGGTAAGGAACAGCATGGCACAGTCCCACCTCATAAGGAGCACGCAAGTACAGCAATGATTCCCAGTCGCATGGTATTATACACTAGTGCTGCCAACTACAACACCCATGATGCTTTGCAGCCACATTCCCACCTGTATTAAAAGGACCAGCCAGACCCTTCTGCGGCCAGCCATTGGATGGCTGCTCCGTCAACACATCACTCCGTCAGTCACTGGGGGTGCAGCGACTAAACACCCCACACACCACCGTCACCATTTACCAATGTCTGCAACATCCGACTGCAAACCCCACACACCACCGTCACCATTTACCAATGTCTGCAACATCCGACTGCAAACCCCACACACCACCGTCACCATTTACCAATGTCTGCAACACCCGACTGCAAACCCCACACACCACCGTCACCATGTCAAAGTCTGCAACACCCGACTGCAAACCCCACCGTCACCATTTACCAATGTCTGCAACACCCGACTGTCTGCAACACCCGACTGCAAACCCCACACACCACCGTCACCATTTACCAATGTCTGCAACACCCGACTGCAAACCCCACACACCACCGTCACCATTTACCAATGTCTGCAACACCCGACTGCAAACCCCACACACCACGGGCACCATTTACCAATGTCTGCAACACCCGACTGCAAACCCCACACACCACCGGCACCATTTACCAATGTCTGCAACACCCGACTGCAAACCCCACACACCACCGTCACCATTTACCAATGTCTGCAACACCCGACTGCAAACCCCACACACACCCGACCGTCACCATTTACCAATGTCTGCAACACCCGACTGTCTGCAACACCCTGCAAACCCCACACACCACCGTCACCATTTACCAATGTCTGCAACACCCGACTGCAAACCCCACACACCACCGTCACCATTTACCAATGTCTGCAACACCCGACTGCAAACCCCACCGTCACCATTTACCAATGTCTGCAACACCCGACTGCAAACCCCACACACCACCGTCACCATTTACCAATGTCTGCAACACCCGACTGCAAACCCCACACACCACCGTCACCATTTACCAATGTCTGCAACACCCGACTGCAAACCCCACACACCACCGTCACCATTTACCAATGTCTGCAACACCCGACTGCAAACCCCACACACCACCGTCACCATTTACCAATGTCTGCAACACCCGACTGCAAACCCCATACACCACCGTGTCTTCTGCGCAGAAGTGGGTGGAGGTCAGTGAGACCCCAACCAAGCTGTAACGCTGGCTTATGGTGCTTGCAATTACTAGGAAGCAGCGATTGGCTGAGGCACCTGTTTAGGGTGCCAGGCGGTCCGTCACAATCTGAACATACAATCCAGCCAACTTTGTACAATTTGGTTGGAACGAATGTGCTGCAAACCCCACACACCACCGTCACCATTTACCAATGTCTGCAACACCCGACTGCAAACCCCACACACCACCGTCACCATTTACCAATGTCTGCAACACCCGACTGCAAACCCCATACACCACCGTGTCTTCTGCGCAGAAGTGGGTGGAGGTCAGTGAGACCCCAACCAAGCTGTAACGCTGGCTTATGGTGCTTGCAATTACTAGGAAGCAGCGATTGGCTGAGGCACCTGTTTAGGGTGCCAGGCGGTCCGTCACAATCTGAACATACAATCCAGCCAACTTTGTACAATTTGGTTGGAACGAATGTGCACGCAGCCAGTTGCCAATGTAGTAAAACATGTTCCAAAAACGCGGATTAGCACTAACTTTATAGCGTGTTAACTCTTTAGAACAGATCAACATAACCAAAAACAAATGATTTAGGTTAATTTACATTAAAGGGACACTATAGTCACCAAAACAGCTTTATCTTAATGAAGCAGATTTGGTGTATAGATCATGTCACTGCAATCCCAATGCACAATTCTCTGCCATTTAGGAGTTAAATCACTTTGTTTATACAGCCCTAGTCACACCTTCCCTGCAAAGAGTCATCTAAGGTTTAAACTGGGGCATGGGGGGCTTAGGAAGTGGCGGTGAGCACTGCTCCCTGACGCTTCTATGTTTACATATTACAAGAAGGGAGCTGCAACCCGGTAGCTCCTTCCTTGTAATAAACCGAACGAACAAAGAGGTCTTCGTTCATTCATTTGAAATTTCTATTCATTTATTCGTCTTTCTGACGAATGAATAGATTAAATTTCCATTCGCATGCCCAAGTGTTTAACTGGGCATGGCGGGAATTTCACTCACAAGGACAGAGCCAGATGAATATGGCTCAGTTTAAACGCCTGTGGAATAGTTCATCTGGCTCTGTCCTTGTGAGTACTGAATCATACAACTAGCATTAAGTTACCTATGTACTGTATGATGTTGCACTAGGTGCTTGTCAATATCTTTTGTCTCTACAGCTACTTCATTGTACTTTTGCAAATTACCCCATACCTTGTACCCAAGAACCAAATATACTCCACCTACTGTGTATGTATATGTCTCTTTTGGATTTGTGTGGATAGAGAGGTTACCACACAGGTGTTTAGAGTTACTTGGCCAACCCCCTACTTTACACACTTAGACTCTGTAATTGTATTTTATAAAATGGAACACGTTTTTGTAAGCATAGTGGCAATTTAATATTTTATTAGAAAGTATTTCAGTTTAAATTATTACCAAGCCTGTCCTAACAAATTACAAGCCAATAAACGGAGCTACAATAAGAAGCAGGGTGTCAGATTGAAGGAGATATATCGTTCTCATTCTCTTTAAAAATCACCTTTACCTGAAACAAAGATGCTCATTTTAAAACTCACAGGACAATAAAGCATAGACCAGATGACGATCACGGTAACTAGGCTGAATGGTCAGTTTATCTCCTACTGGTATATTTTGTAAGGAAGGAAAATATAAATAAGCAGGTATCACTTAGCAGTGCAAGAAATGAACCACCATTTTCTATCTGTACAGAGAGCGTGTTTAAAACCAGGATCTGCCCCAGGCGCTTAACAAACAATCCAGGGAGATAAAATGTTATTCTATAGAATTCTTCATGCAAACAAAGCATGGCTTTCCCTTTGATTTTTGATAAGTAATATCACGGATCTCCCAGGACATGAGAATGGTGCAGATTCACTCTGTGCCCGTACTCCATAATGACCACCAATCCTTGAGATCAGCGGTAGGCAAGCTACGTCACCACAGATGTCGTGGACTACATCTCCCATAATGCGCTTACCACCATAATGCTGGCAAAGCATCAGAGGAGATGTAGTCCACATCTAGAGTGCTGAAGGTGGTCAACCCCTCGATCCTTAGATTAAAGGAACACTGCAGGTACCATAACCACTACAATATGCTACAGTGGTTTTGGTGGCTCTGACATCCTCAGAGTATGTAGTCGAACCGCTTCTGTTAGCTCCAATGATCTAAGCTGTGTTGCACAGGGCCGGCTTGCTGGCTGAGAACATCAGCATCCCGTGCTCTATGAACGAGTACCTAATACCACTGCCGCGCATAGTTCAGTGCAGAAGCTTCCAGAAACACAGGAGGCGGCAACTGGGGGACTCGGGAAAATAAAATCTTTTGACAACAATTTTACGGTGTACCCTGCGAGGGCGCAAGGGCACCAAAACCACTTCCTTTAATATCTTCAAATAGACACTTTAACAACCAAAACCACAACTTTACTTTATACAAAGTGTTTTTAATAACAATGAACTAATCTGTAATCTAGCATTGGGACAGTTTCCTAAATGAAGTCATCAGCTCTTACGACTTTTATCCAATCCAATGCTTTGAGGACATGGAGCAGATTGGGGACACAGGGTGCACGTGCAGCCGCACTGAACCAATCAAATACTTCTCATAGAGACTCACTGAACACAAATGCTTTTCTATGAGAAGCGGTTGATGCATTCAGCGTCATCTTGCTATGTGTGATGATGGGGAACATGAAGGTCTTCAATGGGGAAGTGCCTCTATCAGCCTAATGTCATGACTTAGGCAAAATGTAAACATTGTCATTTCTCATTAAAGGACCACTATAGGAACCCCGACCACTTCAGCTCAATGAAATGGTCTGGGTGCCAGGTCCCTCTAGTGTTAACCCTGCAACTGAATACATCGTAGTTTCAGAGAAACTACTATGTTTCACTGAGGGTTAATCCAGCCTCTAGTGGCTGTCTCACTGACAGCCGCAAGAGGCGCTTCCGCGATTCTCACTGTGACAATCACAGTGAGAAGACGCTGACATCTATAGGAAAGCATTCTGCGATGACGTCGGCAGGAGGAGGAGAGTTCCCCAGCGCTGGAGAAAGGTAAGTGGCTGAAGGGGTTTTAACCCCTTCAGCCCAGCGGGAGAGGGGGACCTAATGACCCTATAGTGCCAGGAAAACTAGTATGTTTTCCTGGCACTATAGTACTCCTTTAAGATGAACTGGTTTTAGTGCCCATTTAAATTTCCACCTCTAACTCTTGTGGTAGGTCAATTCCACATTCCCCTGTCTTGGTCACACAGCAAAGTTCACAGTTCAGGTCATAGTTAACCGAGAGGCTAAAATCTCAGGGTGCAAGTTATCATACAGCTCTGAGCCAGTAACAGGCTGTGTAATGGTTACAGTATCTGGAGAGTCCTCCCAATCCTGACTTAAAAATATGCTAGGACAGTGGTCCGGGCTCAATATACACTAACTGCCTTCACCGAAATCTGGCTGGATATACACCGACTGATTTTACCGGCACCTGGCTCAATGTACACCAGCTGCCTTTACCGGCACCTGGCTTAATATACACGACTGCCTTTACAGGCACCTGGCTTAATAAACACGGACCCCTTTTACCAGAGTTTGGCTCAATGTACACGACTGCCTTCAATAGCACATAGCTCAATATATAGTAACTGCATTTTATGTGACCTAGACAGGTACAAT